TTATACTCATGGAAAACATCCTTATTAATGCTAACTAGAGCAACCTCACTAAATCCTATATGGTTTGCTGTAAACAGTTACATAAGAAGGCTGAAGACTTTCTAGGACAAGTAGCAATTGCCTTATATTGCTACAGGCTTTGGTGGTGTGAGAACTGATGGGAAAGGCTGTGTGAAAGCCTGGATCTTGGTGGAGTGGGCTTTCAAGTTCCTTCATTTTTATAGCAAGTACATATCTCCTAAGACTTCTCAGACTGAAGGCTTTTGTTGAGTCAGTCTCCAGACTCTCATAAGAAAATGGAGCTGAAAGGGGAGAATTTTGTCACTTTGGGCACTCATTTGAGTGAGGGCTTTCCAGAGATGAATGGAGTGTTGAATTGGGCCCTGGGAGAGATGTCACTTGAAGATGTTTTCGTTTGGTGTGGCATTCATCATCCCTCTGCCAGTGTATCTTCAGTGGCTTGTCTTGGGTTTGTAATTCCTACTCTGCTGTGGATGGGTTTGTTTACAATTTCTTAGTACACTTTTCTTGTCCTTTGAGAAAACAGAGCTGTGAAGCTGTTATTTTCTACCTTTTTCATATGTTAATTGCATTTGATTGCTGGGAATGATGTTTTCTCCTTTGCCTTAGAGAACTTAACAAGCTGAAAAGCTCTCAGAAGAAAATTTATATTTACATGCTTTCCCACTTAGGAAAATGCTTTTAAATGCCCTTTTTTTTTTTTTTTTTTTTTTTTCCCTCTCAAAAATTTAATGAAAAAAAAAGAATTTATGCTTTCATAAAGATAAGTATTTTGCAGTAACACTGAGACTAGAGTATTAATTAACAGAAATCTGAGGCAAAGAAAAGCCCCAGTTTCTGTTCATGTACCCTGCTTGTATTACATCAAAGTTGTGTTATTCCACATTGTTTGATGGTGATCACATTCAAGCTAGGCTTTATTTAAATAGAAGATGTCTTAGGCTCTTAGATATGAAAAGCAGGTTAAGAAGAATACCAGTGGAACAGAAGCACTTTAAAATAGCATATTGAGAGATACAACTGATAACATAGCTAAGACTCAGATTCCTCAGGAAAATGAGCTTCATTCTCCTGTTTGTCAGTAATGAAGCTTGGTGGTTTGGGATTTTAAGAGTCATAACACAGCTTTGTACAAAATGCCCTGTTCTTGTTTGTTCTTGACCTTAGGAAGATCAAGGAAATGAGCACACAGAAGAACATCATTGGGCCGGGTCACACAGCTCAGTCTTTTGATGATGTCAGAGCTGGCTTGGGTCTGATATCCAGATCAATCAATAGCCAGCGGTTGCAAAGCAAAAATACAATTATGTAAGGAAGCGAGTCTCTCTGATGAGGGTAAAGTTTTCTTGACATAAAGCCAAGAAATCAGAGTCATTGCATAGATATTTCAGCAATGTTTCGAGTAAGTCACAAGCAGGAGAGGAGCTGTTTTCTAGGCTTACATATATGTCGTTGCTTTGTGTTACATGAACAGTGCAGGCAGGGGAGGCCAGTAGGTAACAAAATAGACCCATGAACAAAGAAAAAGGCTGAAGGTGATGTCACTGTTCAGTCTGCTACTGCTTATGTACTCTGCAGGTGAGAGAGCTATTCAAATACCTGGAAGTTCCTTGTTTTTCACTTGAACTAGAGTGAACAGATAAGCAAGGCAGAGTGCACAGTTCAGTCTTTTCTCCCTTTTTCCTTCCTCAATGCTTACGTATGCAGGTAGTGGAATTCTTCTGAAAAAAAAAAAAAAAAAACCAAAACAACAGACCTTCAGCCCAAGGGAGGGTCTGTGTTGTCGTGATGTTGGTGAAACGTTTTTGTTTGCCACTTGCTGTGGAATATTTTCCTTGCAGGCTAAAATTAGAATCCATGGATATGCAGCTTTTGCAAGCTTCTGCTAATGCATGTAGGCGTGAAAGCTGCACTGATGTGGTTTGCTTATTTGTTAATATTTAACATTTAGGGTGGAAAGTAGAGGTCTTGAACTGTGTAATTTCTGTGGAGTGATCACTTGTGCTTTCCACGTACTTAAAGGTAATTTCAGAGAAAAAGCTAGAGGCATTACATTTTGGTGTAACATAGATCTTGGTCTTATACACAGGCAGCAGGATTCTGAGGTTTGTATATGCTAGCCTTCAGTAGTATCACTCATCAGATGTCAGTATCTCTGATGTGATTACACTGCTTGTCAGCAAGCACTGAATTCTGAGTATATAAATAATGTCAGGTGGGTCTGTCTTAACATTCCTGGCTTATTGTGGATCAGACTTTGGCAGTGCTCAGATGAGGAGTTGAATGCACCTCTAAGCTATCTTTCAGCATCCTCTGGCAGGGCAGTCAGGTGCTGAGTCAGCCCTTGGAAGGAATGAGAATAGCCACAGGCTGCTAGTTTACCCTGTCAAAGGTAACCCTGGTTGGAGCCAGAATCATCAGAGCAAAGCGTATGCAGCCTTGTATGCGGGCCCTGACACATCTGCTCAAGTCAGCTCACTTTTTTCCCTTAATTAGCTGTAAGGCTGCTGTCTGTCACAGTAAAAAAATCAAAGCGTGAGGTAAGCTGAGGATTTCACTAACGTGATTGACTCAACAAGAAAAAGCTTCTATGTATCATTTTTTAATTTCTCACCCACTGATCCTGAATGTCTCGAAAGCATGGGTGCATTGTGATTCCTCTGGGGTAAGGCAAGCTTTATAGGTTTTCATCCTTTCGTACCTTCTGTCCCGCGTTTCCATTCCTTCCCAGTGCTGTTAGTTCAGCTGATAGCAGGACAGCCTCTTAGCACTCGTTTATGGTTGTAACCTGGATAATGTAATGGTTGCCCATTGCTTCCAAGTATCTGAGCTTATGCAAGTGGGGAGGTGGTGACCAGTGTTGGAAGGGCAGCAACAATCTGGTTAGTGGGCATGGTGGAGATGGGTTGATGGTTGGACTAGATGATCTTAGTGGTTTTTTTCCAACCTTAATGGCTCTATGATTCTATGATTTAAGCATAAACAGGAGAAGGAAAACCTGAAACTTTCTCCATCAAAAAGCAGACGCATAAGATAAACCTTCATCATCACATGAAATACTTAGCATTCCCCAGATGCCTGAGGACAAACTGTAAGGCAAGTCACAAGCCTGTTTATAAGCACTACGTAATTAGAGGCATCTTCCAAACTACTGAAGACAGCTATTTTTTAATTATATTATTTTGTCACAAAAACATTGCGGAGTTCTTTCCTTTTAATAATGTCTTGCTGTGTGGCATATGGAACCAAACTAAATCAGAGCACACCTTTGCCTTGCAGAGCCTTCAGCCCCTTCCTGGTGAGCAGCTAAGGGCTGGAGCTTGCATATCCCATGCTGTATGATTCAATCCCTTGGTGTGTTCTTCTGCAGAACAAGGCAGTTCTTATCCTGGAGCATTTCTGCTCATAAACAGGTTGTTCTGCAGGGCTTGCCAGCTGCTCCCGTGGTCAAGGCCTCTGAAAGCAGCCATGTGTTTTTCACACCCCCCCCCCCTGCCAGGAGTTACCCGGGTCTAAAGTTCAGAGGCCAGGCCTCAGGACCAGCGTGGACTTTGGTGCATGAGGAAGCTCTCTCCTGATAAGGAAGGATATGAATTTAAAACACCACAGTTATTCCTTTTTTTTTTTTCTCTGCACAAGTGGCAGCGAGGCCTGATAATATAGTCTGCTTCAGAAATGGATTCAGGTAAATGCTAAAAAGTTGTTTTCTCTGCTGATTTAACAGTCTCCTGAGCAAATCTGGCAGCTTGACACTGGTGAGAGAGATCTTACTGCCTGCTCTTCCTCTGCACTAGTTAGAGTGGATACACCATCTCCTCTGTACCAGCTGTGCTACTGGTGGTATACCTCCTGTGAGCAGAGGGAAGGGTCAGCCCAGTCAAAAACCATCCATGTGTTCTTTTCTCCTGGGTCAGGGCACTGGTGCTAAGTACACACACAGGGTATTTCATCAGGAGGAGCTAAAATCAGCCTGGTGGAAGAGCCTTATCCTCTTGTGACAGTTTGTTGGCTCCGTTCACCCCACGTGAAGGAGTGCTTGGCAGTAGCAGGGAGGTGGCGTGTGATAGTCGCCGCCTAGATTGGGGCTATCGAAAGTTGCTGAGAAGGAAGTGCAGGTTTGGAGCCTGGCTGGATCTTCCTGCAGCAGCTAAAGTGAATGTTGATGCTTACCAGCAAAGAGAGCTGTCCTGAGTGTTGCATCTCTGAGGACTGCTTGGAGCAGCTCACTGATCCAGGTGAGCAGCCTTAGTCTGAGAGACAGTACATGCAAACTAATTCCAGGAAAGTATCGATTCGCCAGCAGGGGGTTATGGTAATTGCCATTAATGGATGGAATGTTATGGAGAGCAAGCACATGATACAAAAGCATTTTTTGCTTTGTCATTCTGTCTGTGGCAGATTGCCCAGACTAGACAGGGAGAGGCCCCTGGCCTAACAACCTGCAGCCAGAAGGCTTTCAAGATTCTGCCAGAGGTTATGGGTTTGGGTATTGCTAAAGCTGTGAACCTTTAGCAGAGATCTACCTGAAGATAGTGTTGCTTATATAAATGCCTTTGTTGTCTAACTACTTGATTTTTATCTGATTTAAGGTGTAGTTTTACATGAACATTCCTGAGACTGTTTAAACTTGTTGTAAGAATAAAATATAAGACTTCAGTTGCTTTAGGAAGCCACAGGACTGCAGCTTTGATAATGTATCGGGCAAAAAGCCCTCCTTTGTGCAGGCTGTGACCGCTGTTCAAACCCATGCTCTTGTTTTTCCCAAGTATGTGTGTATACACACGTGAACTCCCAGATTCTTTCTTCAGGCTAAAATAGGCCAAGAGTTATCCATCACTAATATTACTATTAACTATTGCATAACAACTGCTCTTTGTGGATCTCTGACTCCTTTGCCAACATCAGCTGGAGGACTTTTATCTCCAAGTTGCAGAGGACAACTGAGACAACAGTACTGTTCAGTTTTCAGGGACAGCGTTTGTGTGTATGTGTGTTTGGATGAATGCTTTGCAGATCTGTGGGCTCCCTGCCCAAAGGATGCATGCACGCTCAGGATGGCTGTCTGTCCAGGTATGCACACGTGTCGGTTTGCTAATTAATGATGATTGCGCCGTGCAAAGTATGTGTGTGGTCAAGCACAAACAAGCGTGTTCTGACCCATTTCTTGGAACTTAGGCTTAGCGTAACCCTGGGGCATGTGGAGAAAAGCAGAGCTGATAGTGGCTTCCAATCATCCATCAGATTTCTTTTTTTGTGTCAAATCAAATGTCTTTTTTTTTTTTTTTCTTGCTTCTAACACATTTTACCCTTACCTGGTCAAAAATCAGATGTGACCAGTGAGCAGGCACAGGTCTGTTCTGTTCCAGACTCTTGAAAACACTTATTTAGAAGATTTCAAGGTAGAAATAATTTGGAGGAAGGAGCAGGGGGCAGAAAAAAAAAAAAGGGGAGAGGTGGGGAAACAGTGGCACAGCAGCATTAAAAAGTCACTTTCTGTGTGACAAAAGTAAAATCACCACTTTCCTTTTAGGCTGAAGTTTCAAGCTTAACCAGCACAGGTCATATTTCCTTGCTTTGTTTCAAGTGTATTCCTGGATTGGCAGAATGTCCTGGAATCCCAGCCAGCTCTCGTATGGGATTTTTGTTGAAGACAAAAATATAGCAAGTCATCCTAACGTTGCAAATGACTCATCGGTTGCCTTAGGGAACACTCCCCTGAGACGGCGGCTGCTGCTGAGGAAGTGATGAAGCCACAAAGGCCACTCCCCCGGCCAATTTCACTGCTCAGCCTACATAAGGGACGTCCCTCCAGAAGCGACTTTGTTTTATCCTTTATTTCACGGAGAGCGCGCAGAAACGGCAAGGAGTGCAGTGCGAATTAACCACAGCCAGTTTTCTTTGTGGAAGAGAAGCAAATAGAAGGTCATGAGACAATTTTAAAGGTAGGGGGATTTGCACTTTAAACTCTATCATTTAGTTTTGAGATTAAAACAAAAAGTCTACAATGATTTTTTTTTTTTTATTTTAATTTTTATTTTTTAATAGTTCTTGGGAGATGAAAGCAGGAGATCTGTTCTCAGCATGAGATCCCATTTCTGATTCCAGTAAGTTCCCTCTTTAAATGAGAGCTTGTCAGTCTAGTTTTTTTGGAGCCGGCTTCTGGGAGATAGTGTCAGAGGGGAGCATGTAATCTGTGAAGTGTGAGCTAAATTTCTAGCATGTTTTCATGAAGAATAAGTATGAAGAACTGGTGAAAAACTAACCAAACGATAAGGAACCACTGATGGAATAAAGTCTGAAGCTTCTTAATGCACATGTGAAAATACAAAGCGTTTGTCTTTAAAGGAAGAAAAATAATATAGTTAATGATCTAAGCAAACTCCATGAGTAGGTATTGTGGTTTCATTATGCTCTGTGTTTGTACGCATCATAAAGATGCAGTTCTTGATACTTGAGTCTTCTGACTGTGTGGGAGTTGAGACTGTCCTTAAGTGTCACTGAGCAGGCAAGGTGTACTTTTGGAAAAGTACAATGTGTTTTATTACTTTCACGGCCCTAAATATTAATAAAATGAAACTGCGTGTTGTTATACAGTCTATGCTCTTTTTTCAGTCTTTTTCTGATTGCAGTAGGAAAAACAGCTGATAGCTGTGTGAGAATAAAAGAACTGATTGCAGACTAGATTCAGTGGTGGGGTTATATTGGGGTGGCAGAGTGGGAAGAGAAGAGGAAGGAAGCCAAGGTATTTTTGGATGTCTTCACCACAGCAGATGTTTTCTAGGTTTTGTTTCTACTGTTAACATGCTACCTAGGGTTATGAAAGACAAATATAAATGTAACTTTCTACACGCAGAAGTACAGTCTGAACTTCTGCTGGCATTTCACTTCTAGCTGGGGGAAGTGATAGGGTTGGTTTTGTTTTTGTTTTTTGTTTTTCTTACTGATACGGATACACTGGCACTTATACTGAAAGGGGCTAATTTTACCCCAGAGGAAGGCAACTGTAGAATAAATTGAGCACAGAGAGCTGCTTTATGCAAAACGAAGTTAAGATGAAAAGAGAGGGAAAACTTTTATGTTCGCTTGTATTGTGTTAACCATGACTATTCTGGCAGTATTGAATGAAGTGCCCGAGTAGGCAGATAGAAACACTTTACTGATAGCAAACAGAAATATTAAGTGTCCAAGTGTGGGCTTGTTCATTCACTTTTTTAGACTTAAAAGTTTTCTCATGATGTTAATTGAAATTCACTGATTTACATCAGTTGAGGAATCTGATGTTTGCTCACTCCAAATCTTGTCTGCAGTTTGAGAAGCACTGAGAAACAGCCAGCAACTTCAAAGACCTGAAGGCTTGAAGTTGTGATTGAGAAGAGCTCACAAATTGAGTTCAAAGAATTGTTTTACATAGAGTGTATGAAGATTAATGTGATATTCTTTGTGGCATACAGCTCTCAAAATGCTTTTTAGGACTTGGGTGGTTACTTTTCTCTGGTATTAGTGTGTACCTGTTTCAAAAAAAAATGAACCTCTTCAGTGATCACACTTGGTCTGTTTAGCTTCAAAGTTAGCTATAAAGTTATGCCAAAGAGCCATGTTACCAAAATGTAGTTTTCAGAAGTTGTTTTCTTCATTCAATTCTTTCTGTTCATTGGATTGGTAAGGATGATAACTGCAGTTTGTTACTGTGTTGCATATGGTTGTTCTATTTTCCTACTCATATATATAGCAGAAGGGGGAAAACCCACTAATTAGAAAAGTCCAGGGCAGATGAAAAGAATGAAGTAAGTTAATGAGATGCCTGTGTCAGCAGGTATGTACCTCATCCTGGAGTCTGCAGTTTGAGGAGGCACTGTAGTTGTGGTGGTGTGGAAAAGTAAGCTCTGTAAGGAAACCTGGGTCGCCAAAGAACAAAGAAGTTCATAGCTCAGCTGTACTGAGATATCCAAGGATGGGTTAAGATGACAAGATTTTAAAAAGCTAATTAAAAGCAGAACTGAGAAAATCCAAGCGCACTTACGTTTCCTTATCACGATAAGGAAAATACTTGTTTTTGAACACCATAAGTAATTTTTTGGTGTTCCCTAATCCTTTTTATTTTCACTGTTCAGACCCATAAGGAAGACAAGCCTCAGGAACTGCTGGAAATGAATGGGAATACAGCAGAGTCCCATTCCTACGACTATGACCTCATTGTCATCGGTGGAGGCTCAGGCGGTCTGGCTGCTGCCAAGGTATGAGAGAGAAAATGTAGATTTATGCTTTCCTTGTGAGTAGGTGACATCTTCAGTAACTTGGTTCTGGATATGTCTTAACACTGTAAGATAACATGTCTGTCTGTTCAGCTGGACTTCTGTTGAATTTAGTTCTAGGTTAAAGGTGCTCTTATCTTACCCATATTCGTATGTATTATGCATGCCATACACTGAACTACTGTGGTCAAGAAAGCTAATGGCATATTAGGGTGCATCAAGAAGAATTATTACCAGCATATTGAGGGAGGTGGTCCTCTTCCTCTATTCTGCCCTGCTGAGGCCAGAATATTGAGAATTGTGTGTCCAGTTCTGGGCTCTTCAACTCAAAAAAGACAGGGATCTTCTAGAAAGGGTCAAGTAGATGGCTATAGAGGTGAGCAGGGGTTTGGAGCATCTTCCATGGAAGGAAACTGCAACTCTTCAGTCTTGAGAAGACTGAGAGGGGATCTCATTGCTGTTTATCTAAAGCATGGGAGTCAAGTCAAGGGATGGGCTCTTCTTGGTGGCATGCAGCAATAGAACAAGGACAAAAACTGGAAGATAGGAATCCCGTACAAATAAAAGGATGAACTGTACTGTGAGAGTGATGAAACACTGGAACAGGCTGCCCAGAAAGGTTGTAGTGTCTCCCCTGCAGACACCTTTCTGGGCACTTTCCTGTGTGACCTACTTTAAGGAACCTGCTTTAGCAGGGCCTTGGGTTCAACAATTTCAAGAGTTTCCTTCCAATCCATACAGTTCTGTAATTTTTGTAATATAGTCTGCTTTTCCATATATTTGAAGCAGAAAAATACGAAAACATCATGGTATAGCTTTCAATACAGTGCAGCTTGTTCCTTGCATCCCCATTAATGAAAGGGAATGATTTTAGAAAATAGGAGGTGGATAACTTTACAATGAAAAAGCACACAGCTGAGTGGTGGGTTGTAACGTGCAGTGCGTGTCCGTAATTTATTTTGGTAGTTTGCTACTCCCTCATCAATAGGATCACTGTTGTCATGGCTGAGGATGAAAGATAAGTTCTGTGAAAATTCTGAGAACCTGGAAAGAAAAGTAGAAAGTAGTGTTTAGGGGACAGGAATGTTCAAGACAAAATAGTAAGAAGAGTAAAGGAGAACTTGGAGTAATACAAAACAGACTTGGAGTAATGAAATGCCATCTGTTGAAATTTCCATAAGGAAGCTGCTTTGTTTTGCTCTATGCATATTCTAGCTTGCGAAGCTGTATGATGTTTATTGCATCATTTCTCAGCTCTGGGGCTGAAAATGTGTGTCTAGAAAAATGAATGGCCTTGTTCCTTCAACTCAAGGGAGTAGGGAAAAGGTAGGAAGATGGACTTAGATGAGGGAAAAAACAACAGGCCATAAGCTAAGAAAAAACTAATTTACTAAAAATGATAGTGGAATGTGAGATAATACAATGTAATACAATATAATTGGAATTGAAGCTAATAAATAAATGAGAAAGTGAATGTCTGAAAACCAAAGGTCTTACTCTGGTGCTGCAGGTGAGATGGCCAGGGAGCACACAGGGCCAAAGCGGGCAAAAAAGGAACAATCTTGTGACTCCCAGTCAATTTCTTCTTTTCCTCTGAATGGGAAACTGAGTAATGTGGTCTTCTGGAAGCTGTAGTTTACTCTTCTGAGAACCACGTACCCGGAACTATCAACAATCCACAGAACCACAGCATTAACTCTTCAACTCCCAGTTTGCTACATGATGTTATGATGTAGAACATGGCTAACAGACCACAAACTATGACAGAATGTCTTCCTTTTTTTGTCCAAACGATGCTCAATATTTGGTATTTTGGAGGCTTGTCTCCACGGTGAGTGTAAATGCTGCCAGTCTGAGCGAGCAGACCCAGACCAAAACTGCCACCATTGGTAGTGAACTGTTGTTGTGTCATAGAATCACAGAATGGCCCAGGTTGGAAGGGACCTAAAGGATAATGAATCTCCAACCCCCCTGCCACAGGCAGGTCCACCAACCTCAACATTTAATACTGGACCAGGTTGCCCAGGACCCCATCTAATCTGGCCATGAAGGTCATGCAGCACTAAATCTACTAAGGCCAGAAAACCTACAGGGCAGGTTTTATTACTGTGGGCATATCACTGTGCAGAATTAGTTATATCTGCTTGTGACCTCTGCTCAGATGGCAATACGGACCTGTTAGCACACAGCTGAGCTTGGGAATCTGTGCATTCTGGTTAATCAGCTGACACTAGTAATGTTCTTTCAAATTGTGTATAAGAGCTGTCATTAGAAGGAAGCAGTAATAATACATCTCAGTTCTTAAGTGCTTTTCAGAGGAACTTTCTCAAAGTGTTGCTAGTGTGTAGAAACTAGCCTCTTGGCCAGCCTTGATCTTTAATAGGAAGCAAAAATCCAGTACATTAATATTTTCCTAAGTCATCTAAACCTATGTTCTTTGAAATATGTTTTGTATTTTGCATGGAATAAGATGCATTTAAAATTTTAATTTTGATTGTCAACTGTTTGGATTAACAAGTATTACCAGTAGCATAATGCTGAAGGCTGTCCAGACTCCTCCTAAACCAAACCCAAAGCCCTAGAGTAATACTCTGTGCCTACAGCTGCTGTTATGAGTCTGAGAGTTCATCATGTGATGCAGCGCTGTTGTGGTTACTCAACATATCAAAGCTGTTTTGCTGCATCTCGTGGGGGAATCTGTTGTGTCTCAGCTCCGTAGCATTTAGTTAAGTGTTCTTCTCTGCCTCCAGTCATTTCCAGTGATTTTTGCCTTCCCCTTAGACAACACAGAGGGAATAACGTAGTCAGTACGGAAATTCCAGTTTTCAGTATCGTGTACACACGTTGCCTGTTGACTTGCTAATTAAATTTCTCAGGGGAATTATCATAAATCAAATCATTGCTTTTCTAGAATGGATGACACTTGCACATCCTGACAGTCAAGTCAATTTACCACATGTTGTCTAGTTTGAAGATTGTACTCAAAATTGAGTCCTCCTTTCTACCACAAAGAAAAAGACTGGACAAGCGGTAATGCTTGGCCACATGACTGCTTGTGTCATTGTGTGATGTGGTTTCAAATAAATATTTGAGGAACCATCTATGAAGGGAAGACGGGATTAATGAACAATTTGTTAAATATATTAAAAGTAAATGTCAAATTGGGCAACATTATAAACAAAAAGACAGGATGAAGGAGGGAAGGAGGGGTTTGACTCCCAGAGATTTCTATCAACTGGTTCCATGCTCTTGTTTAGCAGGGCAAATGGCTGTTTTTTCCCTTCATCTTTTTTTTTTTTTTTTTCTACTGACTGCACAGACTAATTCTGAAGATTAATGACTGCCTGGCCATTCCTTGCAAATCATTCATTACTGCTTAATTAAAAGTCACAAAGCTCTTTAGCAATGGTGTTATCATCTACTCTAAATTTAACTTCTAATATTTAGATATGTGTCTTATTTAACTTGTTTTGCAGGAGGCTGCCAAGTATGAAAAGAAAGTGATGGTCCTAGATTTTGTAACACCTACGCCTCTGGGAAATTCATGGGGTAAATGTTTATTCATTATAAACTTTTTACAGTTTACTAAGAGACTGACTGTCCTTTGGGGTCAACCATACCAATGTGTGAAAAACACATTCTGTTTCTTTCTCTCAGGTCTTGGAGGAACATGTGTAAATGTGGGCTGTATACCAAAAAAATTGATGCATCAGGCAGCTTTACTGGGACAAGCCTTGCAAGATTCACACAAATTTGGATGGGAGTCTACAGAAGAAGGTACAGAAGAAAAAAGTTTTGTGGTGTGTTTTTTTGTTTTTTTTTATAAATATTTTTTTTTTTTGTTTTTTTTTAAGAAAGTTTCTTTTTTTTTGTTTGTTTTTTTTTTTTTTAATTTTAGTTTTATCATTTGTGCTGGAAATACTGAGGTACTTTGCAGAATGAAGTGCTTGTTGCACTTAAGCACATGCTAACTTTAATGATGTGAGGCAACTTCACAGAGTCTACGTGTAAACTTAAGTGCTCTTCATAGCTTCTTGCTTTGCAGCATTTGATCTGGTTTTAACATCTTCCCATCATGTAAATGTTTGAGAAGAGTGCTGTGTGCATAAAAGCAGTAAGATACTACTCCATTTCTGAATGTAACACAGCATCTAAGAGATTACCCCAGATTGTTCTTCATTAGAAACAGAAACTTGCTAATAATTGCGTACAAGATTTTCTCCATTTCTACATCAGAAACTGAATTTTACTTTGTATTAGCTCTAATATACATGATTGTAAGATTGGGATTTAATTAGGGTTCATTTGTTGAACAGTGTACCTGCTTAGTATGTGTCATTGGGAAACTATTGATAAAGTGTGAAGTCCAAATGTTCTGTATTTCAAAGGCTGCGACTGCACTAATATGAGGGGGTTGGCATAAAGAACACTCAGGTTTGTTTCTTTTAAAGATATCTGCTTCATGGTGATTTCTTGTGTTGTCTGTGCTAATATAGTTCTTTTGAATTTCATTTGAGTGACCCTGAAGTAAAATAGGAATAAGACAAAGGTGACTAGGTTGTGAAAAATAGTCTGTCTAGGAATATAGGGCTGGCTACAAAAAAGAAGGGTTCACAGTCTGAAAGAGGAACATCTGTTTTGTTTCCAACAGTCAAACACAACTGGATGACTATGACAGAATCTGTTCAGAATTACATTGGCTCACTGAACTGGGGCCATCGGGTAGCTCTGAGAGAGAAGAAAGTCACGTATGAGAATGCGTATGGAGAATTTGTTGGGCCACACACAGTGAAGGTACTGCATAGCCATGGTTGCTGGGTCTTGTAGTGCTTTCAAGAATAGTTTTTTCCCCTGGTAGGACTGTAAAATACTCAGTTTGGACAATTGCTTTGTTCTCAGGCAACAAATAAAAGAGGAGTTGAAAAACTGTACACAGCTGAGAAATTTCTCATTGCCACTGGTGAAAGGCCACGCTACCTGGGTATCCCTGGAGACAAGGAATACTGCATTAGCAGGTAAAAACAGTGAAGAATATGAAGATATTCACTGTGTGTAAATACTAAACTTCTATGGGACAGTAGTGAAGCATAAACAGGGCTGCTTGCTTGGTGTTGTTTTTCCAATGTAACTTTTTTAGAGGAAAGTAAGCAAGAAAATAGCTATAAACAGATGTTAAGGTGGTGAGAATGTTAGTGTCTGGTGGGCACTGCTGAATTGTGGGTGGTTGGCTAGAATTGTTCTGTTTCCAGCTTATAATGGCAGTAACTGAAAATACCATAAATGTCTGTCACAAAATGAATTTATCAGCTGTGCCCCCGTTACAGTTACATGTTCTTTTTCCTAATTCCTTAAGGTTTTTCAGTTCATGTACAGACATTTGTTCACAATAAAAAGCACAGCCTGTTTGGAGGAGAACCCCCTGCATATCAAGAAAAGAGGGAGTTCTGAGGCAGCTGATAGCTGAAGCTCAGATTGGATACTAGGAAGTATTTCTTCTCAAAGAGAGCGGTGCTGCAGTGGTACAGGCTGCCCAGGGAGGTGGTGGAGTCACTGTCACTGGAGGCATTTCAGAGCTGTGTGGATGTGGCACTGAGGGATGTGGTCACTGGGCATGGTAGAGTTGAGTTGGCTGTTGGACTGTATGATCTTAGAGGTCTTTTCCATCCCTAATGGTTCTATGATTCTATGATGTTGTGAAGCTGGTTGAAATGTATCTGTCACTGTGCATTTTGGAAGTGTTGAAGCTTGACCCAATTTTTCCCTAGCTACCTAGTGAAGCAAATTTAACCGTTGCTAGAACCACAAATGTCTGAAGTGCTAAAGCCAAACAATTTTAGCACAGTTTACACACACAGACACACAAGAAGGATAGTTGGGAGGAGAAGTTACATACAGATGAAGTGTGTTTTCATACAGACTAATTTCTAAAAATTTCTCATTGTAGAAACACAGGTTGGAGTTCCAGGCTCCCACGCCTTTAGCAATGAAATAAATAACTGGTAATTTTGTCAAACCAAAATATCATGTTGCCTGTTTCCCTTCTACAAAGTAGTAGTGAAATTAAAGGTAATAGATTATGAAGCCTATGAAGTAGTGCTTTAAAATAATAACATTTTGAGGGTCATAACATCATAGACTATCAAACTGAAGCTATCTGTGCAATCTTAACTGGGTTCTTCAGGGGTTGTAAACTATGATGTAGCCTTTTTCATTATACAGTCAAATTTATTCTCTTATAGCATTTGCAGAGATCACCTTGTTTAGCCTTTGCAGTTGTTGGCTGAAAGAGAGACACTTTTTAACATGTAAATCTTTGGAGAATTTCATTACCAAACTCTGCCTGAGTCCCTGCTGAGCAAGCATGACACCTCCCTGAGTCTCTGCTTCCCTGGGCAGCCCTGGTTTTGTAGTCTAACTCCAAAGTGTAGCAGAAGTGACATGTGTTGATGAAGTTGAAGCAAATGAAAAACAGGCGAAGAAATGTTTTCCATAACTTTGTACTTGTATCTCTATTTCTGTGGTTTGCATTAATTCATTTTATTGTCTATATGTATTAGTCACTGTGTATGATGCATTAGCAAAAGGAGAAAACTTCAAAGAAGTTAAGATATGTGTGTCTGTGTGCTGAACCCCTTCCTCTTCTATTTAGCTACCAGGAAGTAAATTTTGCAGCAAAATACGTGATTCAGTAAAAATATCCATTTTGTAAGAAACTGTAATAAATTTCTGCTTTAAAAAAGAAATAACAACAACACAGGATTTTGGTGATGATTCGGAGTATTTCATGCTGTTCTTTTGTGTGTTTCTAATTAGAGCTTTTTAATTTGCCACGTACTGATTATATATTCTAACCGAATTTCCAAAAATAATTTTTGTTTTGTTATTGTCAGTGATTATGAAAAGGATTAAGTCCAATTCTTACAAAGCAACATAGACAAATGTGAAATGTGTTCTCCTGTTTTTTCTAATAATTAGCTGTTGTTATTTCTCCCCTTTTACAGTGATGATCTTTTCTCGCTGCCTTATTGTCCAGGGAAAACCCTGGTCGTTGGAGCTTCCTATGTTGCCTTGGAATGTGCAGGATTTCTTGTAGGTCTTGGATTAGATGTCACTGTAATGGTGAGATCCATTCTTCTAAGAGGATTTGACCAGGATATGGCAAACAAAATTGGTGAATATATGGAAGAGCATGGAATCAAATTTATTAGAGAATTTGTTCCAATCAAGGTAAGCTCAAAGTAGTATAAGACTACAGTTGATTGCATTATACCTATCACAGTGTTTTAAGTTACGCATATTGTATATAAATAAAGAACTTGAATTTGCAACGTAGGATCAACCTACAATGTAGGATCAATACCACAGGTTATTTTTTAATTGTTTGAAATAGATTGATTTCGTGAATCTTATGTAATTTTAAAAGTACTATTTGGCCTTAGTATTGGAATTGTCTGAGATTCCAGAATTTGTTGTTTTTATGAGAATTAGATGGGTTAGTATATGTTACGTTAACAATGTTATGTCTGCTCCTCTTGATCCTGCAAATGCTACAAATGCTGAAATTCCAGCAGCTCTCCTGAAGTCTCTGAGACTTCTTGCAGGCTGGTACATAAGAAGATACATGTTCCTTGTAAGATCATGGCTACTGCATCACAAATAATTCTATTTTTTCATTGTCAGTTCTCAAATTCTCAGCCAACAAATACTGCTTACAATGCTCAGGATCAGTGGGCTATACAGAAAGGTCTGAAATACCCATCTCTATCCTTTATGTGGCAGAGGCCTTAGATATGTGCCTAATTTTCTTTGAATTCCATAGGGATACTCATGCAATTAGTTAGGTGTGTGTATATATAAGCAAATTCAAGTTGTAAAGTAGATTAGTTAAGCTCTGGAGCTTTTCTGATGGCTTCACAGGCTTCAGAGGGTCCTAACTGTATTTTTCTTAATGCTTTTTCATGATGATTAGTGTTTAATTATTATGAATTAGGCAGTAATGTATTAAGCAGTTTGCTGCTTGGTGTTAAGCTAGCGTGTCACTGAGTTTAATGCTTTAGGAATGAAAGCATGAAGTAGAGTGAAGACTGGTTTTGTTGTTTGTTTGTTTTTTAGTCCACACTTATCAAGAGTAGTTTAGGAAGTGCTCTTGCCAGTTTCCTCTCTATAGATCTGACCCATAGAGGGTCAAGGATGATTAGATAGTTTTTAATTTTTTCAGATTTAGCTTTTTGGGGGGAAAGGGAAGGAAGAAGTTGGCGTTACAAGCAGAAGGTCATTTCAGGTAAATTACAATGGTCTCCTCCAGCCACATGCGCTCTGTAGAGTCCATTACTCGAGTCATAAAACAGTCTGTATTATATGCTGTTCCTTTACTACATGTCTTTGATTTCTGTGTGAGTAAAATATGTGGCCCCGTTTCTAGCTAAGCATAACCTTAAACTTAAATTGCCAAATATCTTTTTATCAGGTCATCTCATTTCTTTCAAACATTGTTTTTGAACTTGTGCATGTTGTGCTTATTAAGATGTCTTCAGTGGGACATTTGAGGACAGAAAATTATTATTAATGTTGCTACCTTTGGATAGGAACAGTTCAATAGAGAGATCCTTTAAAGTTGATGGGATGGCACAGAAGGTTTGAGGGTTTTTTAAATAAAAGAAAATAAAGGATGGGGGGGGGAATTGTAATCAGAAATTTTGCTTTTTCTGTCTCCGAATATTTAATATAAAATTGGAACTAGGGCAGTTGTTCAAAAGTACTCTTTTTTGCCCTTTGGTGCAAACACTGAACTTTTCTCAGAATGGTCATTACGTGTTTTATACTTAAACATCCAATCTACAGCAAGCCATAGAAAGCAACTGAGAACCTTGCTCTTCCTGAAAAGGTAAACGAAGGGCTGTAGTTGAAGATGTATGGTTCCTTCCTCATAGTTCAGTGAACACTAAGTAGGGCAAAAGAGAACCCACATATGTAGTTCCAAATTCCATTCACTGTTTGATTGATTATTTACTTTGGAAGAAAGAGCCAGTGGCATCAGTCTTTTTTTTTTTAGTATGTAGGAGTTGCATATGTATAAACAGAAACATGTCCTTATTATGTTCATTAAAATAGTAAATCCACAGAGATGAAACAACATGTTTAAATATGTAAGTAACAATCATAAATCTAGAGAATGATGAAAATATCTTTAGAACATATGTTTGAACTTTAGGTCATGGTTAAACGCTCACTTTCAATCATAAGATATTGAAGACAAATATACATTTATTTACATATTTTGATTTGAAGCTAATCCTTGTATTTTTTATTTTATTTTCTCCCTGAATGTTATAGGTTGAACAGATTGAAGAAGGAACTCCTGGAAGACTGAAAGTTACAGCCAAGTCCACAAAGGATGACCAAGTAATTGAAGAGGAATACAATACTGTGAGTCCTGTCTAAATATGTAAAGAACTTGGAATAATTTCTATTTAATGTTAAGATTTGAGATCTTTATATCTGTATGTTAGTTTTATTAAAAAGTAATTTTAATTATTACAACATGCTAGTTGCATACAGTCAGCATCTAGTTAATGTGAGAAAAGTCTAAGAATCCAGGAGCATGAGTGCCTTCTGAATCACTTGTGTGCTTTTGAAACCTGTTTTTTAGCTCAAGGTTTGGAAGAGCTTGATAGTGTGGAAACAGATGAAGGATTTTTTTCCCAGGGAAATATTTGTCATAAACTGTAGGTAATGATTTTCAATTGCTGTCACAGCAGCTGAAGCATGCTCTTTTGGAGTTAACATAAAGCAGTTGTCCTTACAAGAGCTGAACAAACCGGTGTCATGTCTTCTGAAGATCTGTTGTTGATGCAGCATCTTCAGAAAAACAACTAATGCCCCATGGCAAGTCAGGCAAGGAATTTTAATACACAGTTAAAGCAGCAAAATTATGGTGCAGACGTATTCAAGTTTGATGGAATGTTTCCATGACCTCTCTCTCACGCCACTCATTTTCTTAGGCCTTGATGCTAAAAGCCAAAAACAAACAAACAAAAAAGAATTGTGAATCTTGTGAGAACACATGGACTGTATAAAAATCAGGATTTGTCAACTTGGGATTTTAGACTGCAAATACACTGTGCCAGTGACTCCATCTGCTTATATACTGCATCAGTTCATTCCATAACAAGGATATGCGTCAGTGTCTCTGAGTGCTGATATTATGAGAAAGCTAAACAATAACAACAGTATTGGGTCATAGATGTTTTATTATTTTTCCTGCTCTGTGGTACTGAAAGTTGTTTTGTTTTTGTTTTTTTACTTTGCAAAGCAGTGTCCTCTTTACTTCCGATTTCTTATTGCTGCTGTATCTTTCACTGACATGCTGTCACTCGTTCTAGAAGCTATGAGTTGTGTGTGATCTGAAGACCTTCAGCTCTGAACGTTTGCCCAGTTTGGTCATTTAAAAGAGTTGTAGCAGATCTTGGACTCTTACATCACAGTTCTGTTGTCATTGTGTAGTTGCCTGGCCAGCTGTCCAAGACTGCAAAGCATGCAGCATTTTTCTGTGCAGTAGTAAACACTAGAATTTGTTTTGCTTGTTAAGGTAGCCAAGTTTGTTGGTCTTCACAAGAACTCAGAACGGTCTGTCTAGCATTCTGAACAAATGTTCAGACATAATATTCAACAGGTAGTATTCTTTGGCACAGACTTGGTTGAGAACCTGTGTAAGTGAATTATACATATATAATATGTATATTATATATGTATATGTTGCTAAAAACAACAATGGCTTTACTGTCTTCCTATTTGCCTAAGCATTTGAACTTCATTCTTAAAGAACCCTTTCTTTGAAGAGCATTTTGATGTCACTTGCTCTAGTAGAAATATGATGTGACAATTCTGTATGAAAATGCAAGGAAATCAAATAACACATTTGTATAGAGTGCTCTTTGTGCATTTCTCCAAACTCCAAGGTATTTGGCTGTATTTAATCCCAAAGCTGAAATGTGATGTCAGTAGGTTGCATTGATGGAATGGCCTGTCCTGAGCTCAGTGAATGTATGATGAGTAACAAATGTATTCATACTCATGTTACTGAGCCTTAGCTGCTGATCTTTAGTATATAATGAAAGTAATAGATAGCAACAAGCAGAAGTTTTAGGAAATCAGTAATGTGTGCATTTCTGTTTTGCAGGTGTTGCTGGCAATTGGAAGAGATGCATGTACAAGAAAAATTGGTTTGGACAAAGTTGGAGTGAAAATCAATGAAAAGTAAGGAGAAATGTCTCCATCACAGACTGCTGAACTTGAGTTATTGACTAGTGTGGTGACAGCAGTGTATCCATTTTCAAATGCTTTGAGGAAAAAATTGTTTCCTGTTTGCGTGCATTTGCATAGGAGACAGTGTGGCAGATATCTGCATTTTCTACGTAGTACTATGTGTTTTGTTTTTTATTTTTACTGAAATCTCAGTTCCTAAATGTTGAGTTCAGAGGTGTCTGTTGCATTCTGTCTGTGTTCACAAGCCAGTCTCTCAGCTTCTTCCAGTGACTGGGCCTTCTAGGATCTGCCATTTGTTTACTATATGTTTATTTTCTTAATATAAGGCCAAAGAAGCACTCTTAAACTCTCAACAAGAGTTAGTGATGTGTTTTAGCATTTGGAGAAGTTTATTCCCTGACTTACAGCAGCTGCCAACTCCTGCAGAGAATTTCAGGTTTAATGTAGTGAGACTGATGCACTCGGGAGTGGAGCTGTGGGTAGCATTTTCGCTGTTGGTAACTTTAAAACATCTTCTAGATCTGAAGGACCTTGGCTGTGTTCCCTTTTAATTAAAAGATGCAGGACCACAAACTTGACTTGCTTATCTGTGGGAGAGTAGTGCAGAGGGCAGCTTATATATGAGTGCACTAACTGATGTTGCTGAAGAGGTGTTAATTGCTCTAAAGTGAAAATTTTGGTCTACTAAAATTTGCCAGACCTGTGCTGTCTTGGAGAGCAGTACACAACTTTATTAGACACTCAGACATTTATTACTAAGAGTGATGGAGTAACAAAGAGTCTTTTTCTAAATGAAGTTGTTTTTAATATAAAAATCACAACCGGTCCTTCAATCAGTTGTGTGATTGTTTCTGTGCCTGATAGGTTTAGCTACTGGATGTGTTTCCTGCAGTGATTACTACACTATCTCATTAATGGAGTAGGAAACATTAATAATTTAATACTTCCATTAGCCCAGTACATTTAATGCTAAAAAGCTTGCTGGCTGTCCCTTATGTAGGGTGTACAACAACTTGACTTGTCTCTGCAAAGAATTCTGAAGTTTAAGTGTCTAGAAAATAATTCATCCGCTGACCTGGAATTTCAGAGGTGGAGAAATTCCTTTGCCCTGTAGCTTGAGTGGGAAAATGTCTCTTCCTGTCATTCTTCAAGGTTGCCAGCATGCAGTTCAGCTGATAGTGGTGTGTGTGTGTGTGTGTGTGTGTGTGTGTGTGTGTGTGTGTGTGTGTGTGTGTGTGTGTGTGTTGAGGAAAGCAGTTATGTCTCACTGAAGAACTGATTCATAAGGTGTGAATCACAAGTTCCTGGGCTACCTCCTTATCCGGTGTGTACATTTCTGTAATTTTGATGGAGACCAAAATTTGCAGTTTACCTTCTTGCCCACGATTGTAGGACTGTGAATATGACTTCTTTCCCTCGTATTTCAAATAAGTGCTTCTTTTTTAAAGCTAGAGGGCTCCACTCTTGCAATATTATTTACTACTAGAGTCTTCACAGCAGAATACTCACATCTTTTGTTCTTGTTAATGCAAACTGTAGAACAGGAAAAATACCTGTCGATGACATGGAGCAAACAAACGTGCCATATATTTATGCTATTGGAGATATACTGCAGGACAGGCTGGAACTCACACCAGTGGCAATCCAGGCAGGAAGACTGTTAGTTCGAAGGCTCTATGCTGGGTCGACCATCAAGGTAAGTAACCAACTGCTACAACACTTTGTCATTGCTCTACTTCTAAGCAGATGTGATGCTCTGGATTTTCAGTGTTATTTGCTCTAGTATTTTTTTTCTTTTGTTTTCTATGTCATACATAGTTCTGCTACAAATTGAGTACGAACATAAAGATCAAACCTGCCGATAAGTCAACACGTGAAGCTGAGTCTATGAAAAAAAGTGTTTACATCTCATGTTAGTGCAGTAGTATATTTCCATCAAGTTATGCTAGTCCAAATAGGAGTAACATGAGTACTTATTTACACCTTATATATAATGTGTAAATAGGAGGAAAGGAGAATGCCTTTTAAGAAATGTTATTGAAGCTCCATTTACATGGATGTTTGTGTCTCCCTCATAACCATAGGTCATAAATGTAAAGATTTTTCTCTTGTACAGTTTGCAGTAGTTACATCAGGTTCTGTTATCAGCCAGATTTAGAGCTTGAATGAGTTGTTTATTTAAGGTTGACAGGTATCAGAGTAGCAGAATCCTGAATCATTGTGGCTGATGTTATTACATCAGTCAGGCAGTGTTTAAGAAAACTGTAGCTGGAGCCAGAATTTTCTCTTACTGCAATATTACACTTACGTCTTAATTTACATTTTATGCCAGATAAAGATTTTCACGCCCTGTGAGATAGTTGTGCTACTAAAGAAGGCATCATCACTTTGAATTAATCCAGTAAATGAATACCTACTTAGGTGGAATCCTGGGTTAGAAGAAACTGTTAACATATCTAGTTCCAGCCTCCAGCTATAGGCACGGGCACCTCCCTCTAGGCCAGGTTGCTTAAAGCACCACGCAGCCTGGCCTTGAATGCTTCCAGCGAGAGGGCATCCACAGCCTCACTGGGCAACCTGTTCCAGTGTCTCACCACCCTCCCAACAAAGAACTTCTTACAGATATCTAGATTACATCTACCCTCTCCCAGATTAAAGCCATTTCCCCTTGTCCTGTTGCTGCATGCCCTTATAAAAAGTCCCTCCCCAGCTTTCCCGTAGGCCCTCTTCAGGTACTGGATAGCCACTATACGGTCCCTCCCTGAGCCTTCTCTTCTGTAGGCTGAAGAGCCCCCGCTCTGTCAGCCTGTTCCTTTTGGGGAGGTGCTCCAGCACTCTGATCATCTTCATGGCCCTCCTCTGGACCTGCTCCAACAGGTCAAAGCCCTTGTGTTGGGGGCTCCAGAACTGGACTCCAGGTGGGGTCTCACAAGAGCAGAATAGCGATGCAGAATTCCCTTCCTTCACCTACTTACTGGTCATGCTTCTCTTGATGCAACCCGGGGTACAGTTGGCCTTCTGGGCTGCAGGTGCACATTGCCAGCTCATGTTGAGTCTTTCATCAACTGGCATTCCCAAATCCTTCTCCTCAGGGCTGATTTCAAGCCATTCTCCACCCAACCTGTATTTATGCTTAGGATTGCCCCGACCCAGGTGCAGGACCTTGCACCTGGATAGCTGGAGCTTTTTGTACCCTCTATATAGTATCGCTTGGGAGGCTTTATCAGTGTGTGTAGGTACTTGATGGTAGAGAGGCTTGTAGATGGAGCCAGACTCCTTTCAGTGGTATAAAGTGCAAGGACAAGAGGCAATAGGAACAAAGTGAAACACAGGAAAATTCCACTTATGCATAAGAAAAAACTTTTTTTGCTATGGGGGTCGTCAGATCTAAGGAGTTTGCCCAGTGAGGCTGCAGAATCTGGATACTTAGAGATATTCCAAAGCAAGTAGGCACAGCAAGCTGTAGCTGGTTGTGCTCTGAGCAGGGATTTGGACTAGATCGTTTCTGGAGGACTCTTCTAAGCTCAGCCACTCCTGGTGTGATTCTATGTAAATGGTAGAATTTGCAATATAAATTTGCACCTAGTGATGCACCTAAAAATGCATACATAGGTAGACGTCTATACAAATACAGCATCTTCCTTAACATGTTAAGTTGGGAGAACCATTCTGAACAGAGAACACTCTAAAGCTCCCAGGAAGTCAGGGTGATTTGACTCATAGTATGTGTTGAGGCAAAGCTTTAGTTCTTGCTGTCCATTCAAATGGTTGTAGTTCATGTCTTTGGTTCTTTGATATCTAGGTTGTGACTGAAGAAGAAGATGATAGTTATTGGATGGTGAACGTCTTTGTATCATCATCTGTTAAAAAGAGTGTTTTGTGGAAGCAGCTGAACAGTTTGCTTTTTGTTTCCAGTGTCACCTGTGATCTGATGTGCTTTAAAGCAGGACACTTAATGTTCTCTTACTTCTTAATCTATGCATATCAATGTCAGTATGGCTTTAAACAGATTTCCTGTTCATAGTCTGGTTAGCACTTCTAAGTGGGGGACAACACAGACTTCTGAGTGGGGGACAGCATGATTTAAAACAATAATTAAAAACAACTTTCAGGGTAGAATAATAACCCAGGTATTCTTCCTGTCTTTCAAACTGCTGAATTTTTACCCAAAATGCTGTTTTTATTACTAACATTGTATGTTTTTTATTTTGTTCTGAATACCACACAGTGTGACTATGTGAATGTTCCCACCACAGTGTTCACTCCTTTAGAGTATGGAACATGTGGGTATTCCGAAGAGAATGCAATACAGAAGTTTGGGGAAGAAAACATTGAGGTAAATGCCTTAGTTTCGTTTGGATTCTAAGTTCCCAATTTGTAATTTGAAATAATGTAAGAATTGATTCAAACAGCATTCTGTGTTCTGATATAAGGGCAGAAGGAGGTATACTTCTGTCTTAGCAGTTCCCGAGGATGTTATAGAAAGTTCCCAGTTCAGATAGTTCTGGTTCCAAATATGCTCTGTCTTTGGCACACAGAGCTCATAGCTGGCATATTTGTCTTCAAAGGAAAAAACAAAAAATAAATTCTGCATGTGCTTCAGGGTGAATCAAAGGTTAGTACGAAGTTAATGCCAAAGAAGAGGCTTTCTTGCTTTCTTGGTTTTGACTTTATGTTCCCAGTGTTGTGACGTCACCGTCCCTGGTTGACTATCTAAGCAGGTATTTTACTCACTTGAGTAATCCCTTTTCATTCACTTGCATTCCTGTTGAATGAAATTAGAAACTAGTGCATCAAGCTGTTCTTACAATATGCCAAAGAGACCACGTTGCAAAAAGCATAAGAAAAGGGAGTCAGACAATAATCTGAACTTCGTTTGCACCCTGTGAAGATCACTTGAGGAGCATTATTTGGGGATATAAGCATATGAGTGGAGTTCAACTTAAAGTTCAAGTTAAAACAGGATTTTGGGGTAGAACAGTCTCAAAACACTGTTGTTATTTTGTGAGATGTATCCTATCCAGCTGGATGAGTAGCCTAATAAGGCAATAAATAATCTGTCCAGTGATACTGGATGGGGGGTACTGGGGGAGGACTCTCACCCTGAGTTCATGTTTTCCAAATTCTGTGTACATGGCTGACTGCTAATGAGGAGCTGCTAGGAAATGGTTCATCCACACACTGCATCTCAGTTGTTGAAAGTTTTTACATGAACGATTTCCAAAAGTGCTTTGCCCTCCAAAGTCTGCTGCAATGGCAGTCAGTAGTAAGGTGCTCCCTTTGGTGGCAGGCAGTGTAAATTTAAGACAAGCTGGCAGCTTTTGGAAGATCATGCTCTCTGCTGTGTAATTAGGGAACTTCTTTTTAATCTTTGTTGTGTTTCCAGGTGTACCACAGTCATTTCTGGCCACTGGAATGGACTGTACCATCCAGAGACAACAATAAATGCTATGCAAAGATCATTTGCAATATTCAAGATAATGTAAGTGTATCTTCCAAGGAAGGCAGAAATTGTTTGTTCATCATGGGGACTGTTAATACCACAGCTGTAAACTCGTAATATTATTGTATTAGAAGTCGTATCAGTGGCATCTTATTCTCCCTTCCCCAGACTGGGATTTCCTTTTATGGGAGATTCTTCTCTCTGAAATTGAGGTCACTCAGAATGCATCACATCTTGTGAACTCTGCAAATCCACGTGTGTCTACAGAACACTTGAGATGCTTCCATTTCAAGAATTGTTGTATTTGCCTACACAAATATCATTTAAAGTGCTATGCCAGGATTATTGTAGGACGAAAGTAAAACTTTCTGGTTAAGAAAACATTCAGCACCCGCTAAAACACAAACCAAATTCTGATTGCAATAATAAGCTAATATTATAAATATATTAGCCCTAATAAAGTTTTGGATCTATTTTACCTGTTTTCTTTTATCAGCACCTACAAACTGATCTTTCTGGAGTTTTCCTAAGCATTATGTCATAATTTTGTAAAGTCTGCAAACCTGTCTGGTTTTGCTCATCTCCTGTTACTGGAGGAGTTTGTACTGGGCTGGATGCTATTTTAATACCCATGCGTATGTTCCTACTCCAAGTTACTTAAGAAAATAGGAAGACTTAATGGTGATTTAAAGTGTTTCATTGATTGTTTCTGTTTCTTGTTCTGAAAAACGGAAACTCCATCTGGAGATGGAGTTGAAAGTTATCCTGGATGAGAATTTTGTTCAGGAAATATTTGAATTTATGGTACAAACTAGTTATCTCCACTTAATTTTTGTGGTTTTATTTTTACATATATACATACATATATATATATATATATATATAATGTATGTATATATGCATACATGTATGTATATATAGTTGTTTTTTTTTTAAGGGAAGAATGAGGATAATTCACATTTTGTTATTCCCTAATTATAGCTCTTATTGTTTGTATGAACCTTGTTTGATACTCTGTCCTCAGGCTTACTGAAAGTCAAAAAAAAAAAAAAAATCTTTTGTTGTTCTGAGTATCCACACTCCCTCATATATGATTCTTAGCAGGAGGAGCAGATGACTTCAGTTCCCAGCTGGGCTAGGTCAGTGCTCAATAAAATCCAATTAATGCCCTGAAATCACCGAAGTGCACAGCAGTTAGCTTTTGCTGGGAGAAATTTTCTTTAAGAAAAGCAAGTCAAGTCAGCACAGCTTGTTCCTTTGAATGTTCAGTAAGAATATGTGCACAGTTTGGCATATTTTACAGTTGAAGGGGAAGCAGGTTCTTGATGTAATCTTATTCTTTTCAGAGAGTAGACAACGTTTTTCCCACTGTCCCTTCTGTTGAAGATAATGATTAGGGTAGCTCATGTTTGTGTGGCTTCGTTGATTTGTGGTATCTTTTGTAAACTGATGAAATTAAGTACTCTGAATAAGAAAACTCAGCAGAAATTCAGAAAAAGGAGATAACTCTGCTTGCATTTGATGGTCTTTGTTATTTAGGAGAGAGTAATTGGTTTCCATGTCCTTGGTCCAAATGCTGGAGAAGTCACACAAGGCTTTGCAGCAGCTATGAAATGTGGATTGACCAAAGAACAGTTGGACAGCACCATAGGAATTCATCCAGTCTGTGCAGAGGTTTGTATATGAAGGCACCTTTGTATCCTGGTTTTGGTAACGTTCTGGAATAAGGTGTTAGAAACCTGAATAACAGAATTTAACTCAAGAAGTCAGAATTTAAGGAAGGTAGAAGGGAGGATAGGACAGGAAACAATCTGTTTCTAACATTTATAAATATCACATTTAGGTTTAATGTGTCCTTTTTTTTTTTTTTCTTTTCTCTTTATGAAATATTTATCGTCTCCCCTAACCCAGTGCTCCCTCTGCTGGGGAGTAATGAATCTTCGTCCCACTCGTCCGTTTTTGAAGGCTTCAAATCCTGTTTCCACTGAGATGGCTGTCAGAGTTAATTTTTCTGGATATGTATACTGAAACTAGGCTCACAAACTGCTATTGTGGAATGGGGGGACCAGCTGCATGGCAGTTTTTCTGTTCAATTCTGTTCTTTTGAAGATCTCTGCTTTGCCCTGTGGCACTTCATTTTTGAAGTACCCACTTTTTGTATTTGGCTGTTTCTCTTCAATGAATAACTGAATTTTCTCTGTTGGGTGGGGCACAGCTCCTCACCCATGTAAATCAGTGATACTGCACTGATTTTAGTAGTTTTAGGACCTCTTATTTTAGTTGACAATCTCAGGTAACTGCATACGACCTTTGTAGGTCATTGTACAGAATTTGGTTTTACCTGCATATTTTAGCTACAGAGTGTAAGAGAGGGCATTGAGGTACAGATCTGTAGAAAACAAGTCCAATTCTCTTGTTTTGTGATATAAGCAATACAATACGAGCACCTTTAATTCTGACTGCAAGCAATCTGAATAATCTCCAAAGCATCTGCAGTACAGATTCTTTTTTTCCCCCTGTGATATCATCTATTGGTGTTCTTGGAAGCCCTTGAAGAGAGGCACTGCGTTCTTATCAGGGGCCTTGTAGTGGGGGAACTTTGAGTGAGGCATTCAAACCTGTGAACTTGAGTAGGATATTAGCATATGCAGTGTGAAGAGAAGATTATAGTCATAATTTATTCTGGACATCTGAGCTGCTAAAACTGAAACTGAATAGAATGATGATTAGGTATAATTTAGGGAGGTAATTTCAGATAATCATATTTGTTTGAGTGGGGAAGGAAGAAATTGGCTTAGGAGAAATACACTATTTAAAAGCTCCAGGGAACAGTGATCATTTTTAGTGCCCATCTTCAGAAGGCTTTTTTATGCCTGTTACTTAATTTAATCTCTGATGCAGTAAACAAAAATCGAAGTGCAAGATGGTACTCTTTGATTAAGAAAAACATGCTTTAAGTTTGTTGGGAATTTGTCAGAACTGTGCATATCTGGCTGAAGGGGGTAATGGATAACAGCATTCTGTTTATCATACATCTATAAAAAGGCTAAAGAAAATGAAGTCTGATCTGAGCAGTAAAGGCACAGTGTTGCAGGATCAAATGCTGACATCTTTGCTGGCATTAGTACTGTCTGCTCAAAGAGCCTCATGTGAAATACAGTATTACTCAGCTTGAAAAAGGCTATTAGACTGAGGATTCCATTTCTCACTGTTTACAAATTAGGACCAGATTTCACTTCCCTTATTTGAGCAGCATTTTGTTCAGCAGAAAGCCCAATTGTGAATAAAATTTCTTGTAAGGCAAAGTACAAATAACTGCAAACACAGATTGGTAAGTCCTCAGCCTTACAGAGTTACCTCTCACCTTGCACTGTACTGCACAGCTTGAAATACAGGCATGTACTGAGCATCTGTGATGAAGAAAGTGTCTTCTGAAAACAGGGACAATTCTGTGAGTTTGCTAATGACTGTTTTCCAGTTATGGGATCTACAGAGTTGTCTTCACTTGCATAAATGGTATGTTCTGTCAAAAACTTACATTTCCAATGATTACTGAATGACTCTCAGCTGGCTTACTGGAGCTGGGGAGCTGAGTTTCCCTGCAGCCACTGGAGCTGGCTAGCAGACACAGAGCTTGCAGCTGAGCCAGAAAGAAAATAGATCAATTTGCACTCTCTGTTTTTTGTCTTTCAAGTCAAGTAACAACAAATGAAGGTACCCATACATTGTCAATCTGTGGATCAGAACTAAGAGTTAGAAACCCCATTTCAAGCCATGCACCATGGTTTAAATCTGTTTCTGTTCTTTCGCCATATACATTAGACGTGCATTTATCTTCCTGATTTATGCATAATGTTCTTATCCTTGTAGAAAGCGGAGGTATATCATTTATTAATGTTTTCTGATGGGCTCTGGCAGACTTAATGCACCAGAGCTTCTACTTGCAAGACTGTAGAGCTTTCTGATACCTGTTATCTTCAGATACTTCATTGTTATTTGCATAAAAGAAATATGTATATTCTTTATTCTGTGCTAAGTTATTCTTCCAGAGAGATGGCTTCAATGATAGCTAGTTATTGCAACTTTGAATCATTGAAATGGAAGTGGATCTTGTTTCCCTTTTTTCCTTTCTCTAATGCATCTACACAAAACAGTGCAATTGTTTGCACAGTAAAGTTCTAATCTTAAACAGTTTTGTAGAATGTTTCCTTTTCAATTTTGACGCCATTTAGTTTTTACAATAATTACTTTTGAACATATTGTTTTCTTTAATGTGACTTGAAAGCACTAAATATTTTACTTTATCAAACTAGATTTACAAGGTGTTTCTTAGCTATGGTCCAGGGAGTACAAAACACAAACATAATACCTACATCAGCAATCAGCTCCACATTTCCGTAATATCTGGAAAGATACAGAGGCAGAACTTATGCTCTCTTCAAATGCTATAGCCTTAGGTTAGCTTTGATTTGCCAACAAAGAAGCCAGCTTTGGGAAATAAAGACACTTAGTAGGTGTACAAACTGGAGAGTATTATTGCTGAGCCCTTTTCTGCTGTGAAACTTAGCAGCAGGAAGACAAGGGGCTGTAAAGCAATGAGACTTGCTTCACTGGCATAAGGCAAATGTGGAGAACAAAGGGTATTTGTGTGTGTGCTGTTTAGTAGCAAGGATTTTAGATGAACGTCTTTCATTGTTATTTTAATACAAGAAATGGCTGTGGTTTTAAACATTATGCCTATATTAATCTTCTAGAAGAGAAGATTCATTCTGGCCATACTAAATGTTGTCTGTCTTTTCTTTCTATCAAGGTATTTACCACTCTGGCCATCACCAAGCGTTCTGGTGAAAGTACACTTCAGTCTGGTTGCTGAGGTTAAAGACCCCATTCCTGTTATTGCCAGAGACTGACTTTCATCGCTATGGCTGACTTGCACAACTCAGAAGAAAGATTTTGAAAGAAGTCATCATCAGATGACTGCAGAAACGTTTATGTTTCAGAGAGAGCACTCCACAGTCCCGAGGAGAAGAACAGAATGGGACTTAGCCACCAGCGGTGATTGACTGGCAATCAACAGTGCAATGGGCACATTGACAATCCAGCTGATGCTTAGCAGGGCACTTCATACGTGCTTTCATGAAATCACAGCCTGAACCCTGCGTTGTCTGGTGGGCAGTGATGGAAGAACTGCTGGCACAGCTGAACAACAGCTTTATTTTTTTTTCCTCTGTAGTTTGCTACTTGAACAAAGGACCATCCTAACTCAAGAATGTCACCGCAAGTTCAGACGTCTGTGTACTGAATTATAGCACTGCAGTTGCAAATTCTCCTTACGAGCATGCATTTTTACCAGTGACTTTTGCATGCCAACACTGGGGATATTCTCTGCGTGTTTGGTTATGAGGAAGGAGGTATCACTGGAAAGAAAAAAATAGTGCTGTCTATGATAATGACTCTTTGCTTCCAAACAGACTGCTATGACTGTTTATTTTAGAGATACTTATTTCTGGAAATATTACTAATGAGAAAGAAAATAGTTTTTATTAAGGCCTTGTTATACAGAAAGTTTTGGGTTTGTTTTTTTTTTTTTTTTGGCTTTTTTTCTGATAGTAACAACCTTGCACATAACACAGAAGTGACCTCTATAGCTTTATCTTGCAATTTACGTGATTATAAATAATCCGGTTTGAAACTGACAGAATTCCAATTTGGATTGAATTATATCTCAAAAGCATGGCACAGCTTTATTCAGTTTGGATAAATTCTTCCTCTTCAGGTGTGCAGTGGCATACTGCACGCTTTCAGGTCTGAACTGGCCGCTTTGCATGCAGTGACATTGAGGCTTCCTTCACACTGATGGGGTGATCGAGTCAAAACCAAGCAACAAAAAAAAAAGAGAAAAGCAAACCACCACCCACTCAATCTCTGAGAAAAAAAATAGTGAAAATTCTTCTATGTAGACAAGGCCTACAAGATATATTTAGTTCTATGAATGTTTTGTAATGTATTTGATTAAGAAATCAATACTTTTGAAACAGGATTTCTATGAAAAATAACGAGCAAGGTTACTTTCTTGAATGTTCCTCTTCTGCCGGATAAACTGCATACATATTTATCAGAAAGAGGTAAAACCCTCTTTGTAATGGAAATGTCTGTGCTTTTTGATCTGGTTTTTCTCTCTGTTTTAGCAGGAATGTTCAGGTTACTTTCATTACATGGTTCTTTGGAGTTCACTGTGGTTTGAAAATCCCTCTAGGCAAGACACCTCTTTGCCTATGTTTCTAGCCAGTAACAAACTCATGGTTTTCTTACTAGAATACTGCTTTAAGTTATTTTTATAAAGTCATAACTGAAGGATTTTAAAGTGAGTTCTGTATGTATCAAAAGGACAGTTTGTGGTGTTCTTTCTCTGGCCAGTTTATTAAATAGATTGAATGTTTGCACAAACAGGTTCTCATTTTGATGACTTCCAGGCAAAGAAAGCAGGTGATGGCACAGTAGCTTTTTTAATAGGCCAGAAGAGGGCACCTTGATAAAGTTGTGATTTCTTTCAGCCTTTTGAATTCTGCAGGTAGATATTTCTCTGAAAACAGGATATGGGGCTATTCCATGTGTGGGGTTTTTTTGTGAGCTAAATATATTAGAAGAACATAATTAAAAAGAAGGAATAAATTGGGACCAACTCTACCAGTGTTTGCTGTGTGCATATAGCTTTTGGAAAAAACAGAGGTCTGGGTTCCTGAGCTGTTTCACAATTTAGTTCTTCACTTCAAAGCACATGGATAGCATTAATTTTTATACATGTCTGTAAGAATGTCAGATCCTGGTGTGTAGGGAGTAAAGACATGTATGAGCATGACTTTGCAATACTGCACCCACATGTACCTGTTCTTTGTCAAGAGCCATGTCACTGGGGTAATGTGTGTTATTATGCAGTGACTGATAACTCCAGAAGTTTTTGTTCATACTTTTTAATTTAAATTGAAACCCTGAGGTTTTTAGCATGGTTAAATAAAGGACTATGAGGCAATACCAGCACAATGAGAAGTGCACTTCTGCCATGCAGCGTAACGCGAGGCAAACAATGCAAAAAATGATGTCCTCTTGGGTTTGACCAAGTTGCTTGTCTTGCTGTGGGGTCCCTGTTCCACCATATTCCTACAGTTATGAGGTTGGGATGAGGTGACTTGAGGTGTCTCCAAGCAAATTTTTCCTTTGGTGGCGCATTGAGGTCGCTGTGTAATGGAAAGAAGATCCCAGAAAGAAAAACTGTGCTGTAAGCAAAAGCTGTTAGGTGTTTTAGTGTAACCATTTCCTGCAAGGAGGTTTCTTGTCCCAATACCATCAGCATATCCCAAAATAAAAATACACAACTGGTAACTTCCCATCCAGGCAGGCTGAGACAGCGGTGTGTACAAGGGCACTGCAGGTCAACACCTGGCTGGCAGATGGCTGCAGAGGAGCTCACACTGTCCTTGTTTGCACTTTCCTTGGCTCTACTGGCACAATTTCTCCCTTAGCTGTACATCTGCTAAAAATAACAGCCTTAAGCTAATAGCTTGTGTTGTATTAAGCTCTTAAACTTGCTCTGGTCATACTGAAACTGCTGCTTATTGCCCGTTTAGAGCTGAAATAAGATTCTTTGAGGTTACCTTTTAGTAGTTGAAGTCAGATGGAGAGCATGTTGCATTTGTGCTGAGTGGCCCTAGGAGCACTCTGCATAATTCTTACTGCAGCACCAGGGAGGAAACAAAGCAGCAGCATGGTTAATGCCATTCAAGGTATTGTTTGAAAGAGCCTCACAGATGGGTACCAAACTGTTTATTTCTCTGTAGAAGTTAAAAGAAAGCAATGGAAAATGTCTCTGAGCCTTGTGCTCGGGCAGCTATTTGGCTCATTTCAGTGTCCTGGGACAATTAAAGTGCAGTTGTTAGGGTTGAGAGTTGGGAAGGAAGCTGGGAAATGTGTCAGGGTGCATCTGTGCCTTTCAACTTGGGAAGCTAATGAAGAACGCGTGTCAGAGCAGGAGCTGGAGCCCTCCTTGTGCTGGGGGCACATGTGCTGAGCCATCATCAGGGTGTGCTGTGAAGTACCTTTGAAGGGAAAGTCATACTGGAAATCAAAGCGGCCTGAAAAGAGAACAGGTGAGGAAGTTGCCATAAAACACCTTAAAGTGGTGTCTCTGCTTTAGACGTGCAGCCTCTGACAAACAAGATAGAAGAAAAGCAATACACTAGGAAAATGATATTTTCTGGTATTGGGAGGAACAGAAGTGACTTACATGTCTATCCTGCAGTGCCTTAAAACTCACTGCTGGTACAGATTTACCTTTTATCTGCTGCTCTCATTTCTCCCGTTGTTTCTTTGCAAGCTTATTACAGAGTCAGACTTGTCTTGGGGAATTCTCCTAAAGCGCGTTTTCACCAGTCCCAAACCCATACAGCCTGTGGGAAAGGCAGACGAGCACCATGCAAGAGCTATAGTTAAAGAAGCTGTCAGGAAGCTGCTGGCTTCAACAAAAACCATGGAAGGTTGTGAAGATTTTTTTTGTTGTTGGTTTTTGGCATGACACGTAACTAAGGGGAGCTCACTACCACTGGGTGTGCCTCAAAATATGACTGTATTGAAAAACATCAATTGTATGCAAGCAGGGTGAGGGGTTAATAGATTGATCACCTCTTGCTGTGCTTATGGCACAGGATGTCCTTAAATCACTGAATGCAGAAAACTTGGAAAGGCAACAACCCCAACCTCTCCTCCAAGCCCGTGATATTCAGGGAAGCAGTCATAGCACTGAGCTTGCTGGTATTCAAAAGTGACTGCACACCTCTTTCAGAGATATGGTCTGATTTTTAGGAAGTCTTGTGTGGATGACTCTTATGGGTCCCTTCCAATTCAGGATATTCTGTGGCCATATGAATAAACAGGAATCATCCTTCTGTGTACTCAATATTTTCATAATCATTTTCCAAAATATTTTGTATTGTTATTTTTATATGTATGTGATTATAGGGCCTTTACTTTCTCAGTCTTGTTCTGAGAGATGGGACTTCACATCCTGTCAGGGTCAGCACTGGGGCATTGCCTTTCAGCAGCCTTAACTGAGCCAACAGCGTATCTTCATCTTCTCAACAAGCAGCCTGAAGTAATAAGGGATGAACTTAAAATAATCCTGCGTAAATCATGCCGAAATTGAATTCAGTAGCTTCCCAACGTCTTTTGAATTGTTGAACAAATGGAAGTGGCATCTTTTCCTGTGTCTCTACAATGCAGAAATTTTATACTTATTAGAAGTGTACAATGAAACATTTTTGAGTGAAGCATTTCAGTTTGCAAAGATTTCCTTTCCCCACAAGTTGTTGTTAGCCCTGCAGCTTATGTGCAAGATAATTTGTTTCCGTCTTGGAGCCATGGTGACACAGCACACGTGTTGCAGAGTGGGTTTGTACTGTTGCTAAAGAGCCTTCTGTTTTCCTCCAGCCGCGCTGCACGTTGATCCCATGGTGTTGGCGTGCAAAGATGGCATTATCCACTCTGACTTCCAGCCACAAGCATCTGTGCACAGCTGTGGGGAAGTCCTCCTGCGTCTGCCCTGGCTGCTACATCGACCACTGTGGACACAGAGGGATTATAGTAATTGTCTCTGGAGTATGATTAGTTTTGGCAGCCACAAGCTCAGTTATCTACTGCACTTGCTGCTGCCTCACTTTATGGATGAAGGGATGCTCCCCAGCTGGCCCTGCCTTATGGAATCACAGAACATCCCGAGTTGAATGGGACAATAAGGATCATGGAGTCCAACCCCTGGCTTCACGCAGCACCACCCAAAAGCTTAACCCTGTGTCTGAGACTGGTATCCAAATGCACTCTAGAACTCTGTTATCTTGGGACCGTGTCCACAGCCCTGGGCGTTCTGTTCCATGCCCACCACCCTCTGGTGCAGACCTGTCCCTGACCCCCAGCTGCCCTCCACTGACAGCTCCATGCCGTTCCCTCAGCCCTGTCGCTGTCACACAGAGCAGAGCTCAGCGCTGCCCCTGTGTTCCCTGCGAGGAGCTGCAGCCGCCATCAGGCCTCCCCTCAGCTCCTCTGCTCTGGGCTGAGCAAAGCAGGGCCCTCAGCTGCTCCTCACGTGTCTTGACTTCCAGACTCTTCGCTATCTTTGCAGCCCTCTGGACGCTCTGTAATAATTTTATGTCCATGTCATGTTGTGGGCAGCCCAAACCCACACAGTGCTCACAGCTGGTCTGGCTGCCCTGCTAATAGGACAGCTCCAGGTCAGGCAGCCGCCAACAGCTGCTGGAAGGAATTCTGTGCACACTTCAGATATATGGAGAACCGTAGTAAATTTCAGCAGCTTCTGCCCACTTGATTTCTTCTTATGCTTGCTAGTGAGCCTTAAATCACACAGACAGAATCATTTGGTAGCATTTGTCCCTTCCTGTGGTGGGTGGAAATGTAGAAATTTTTGGCTTAATGCTCAAGGGCATAGAGACAAAGAGACATATCTTGCCTTGTTGTTCTGTTTTAAACAAAATCTAATTTGAACTTTGCATAGTGTGGAAGTTTGGCACGTTATTCACCTGATCTGCTCCCATTCTTTACCTCTCACGTAAGCAATACCGTATGTCACAACAGTGTGCCATGCAGAAATGCTCAAGCTCCCTCTAAGTTACTTCCTTGCTTCCCAGCCTGGGCAGGGTGCTCCATGGGCTTGGCTGTACCAGAGTGGCTGCTGAAACACGGGGCTCTCAAAGCTCACTTAAATACCTCTTTGTGGTACTTTGCTATGCTGATACATGATTTTTTTCACAGCACAGGCAGAGCTGGAAGAGAGGAATGCTGTGGTGTGCTGAGAATGGGAAAACCACATCCTCAGTCGAGCAAATCAATGCACTGATTTTGATCTCAGCTACATCAGGTAGGGGATTTGGCTCCTGCCCTACTGTCAATGCTTGTGGTTGATCCTGACTTGATTTTTTCCAGTCTTTCTTTTATAACTTGTCTTTAAAGGACTGTCAGGATGTTGTTGTTAGTAAGAGGCATTTTTTCCCCCTCTACAGACCCTTAAGACCAAAATGTCTAAACTCCCAGGCCTTGTTAATTGAAGTCCTAGTCAACGAGCATAAAATTGCATGCAGACACCCAAAAAGGGTGCGACGGTTCTTTTCAGTGTGTGCAATTCAACATGCGTTTTCAGTCATATCTGTTAATAACCGACTTGTTTACAGAAAACAGACCAGTAGAGCAGTTTAGAACTTTAATGAAACTTCACAGCATGAAGGGGAGGAGGAGGGGGTTGGTTTTGTTTTTTTTTTTTTTTGGCATTTTATAGGTCCTATAAGGAATCACCAGCATAGTACAGTCCAGAGCATTCATGATTTTCAGCCTGGCATAAAGATGAAGCATTCTGTGAGATATGGACATTGGCTGAGGAAGGCAGCATCACACGGGCAGCACCCTCTCTCTTAAGGTGTTACATGGGTTTAGAGCGTTGTTTGCTTCTGCATATGGAATTAAGAGATTTTGTTACAAAACCTGTGAAATAGTTCCATATGAGTGTTAACTGAGGAGAATGAAATCTTGTTTTACGGTGGATGTGTTTGTATGTTTGAACAATGCTGATTTTTCAAAAGAAGAAAAAATAAGCATTGCTATTCAAAAGTGGAAAATGACATTATTATTCA